TTTGATTAGTCAAATAGCTGAAGAACTCCCTTCTCAATTGGGCCGAAAAATAGAATTCCAGGCTTGATAAATAATAACGGTTCGGATGATACAACGCGATAAAAATAATTTCGATCGACTCGATAGACGACGATAAACAAACTAATTTGGATTATCTATATTTATAATACACACCATACTTTTAAAATAATAATAATAATAAAAATATGCATTTAGACAAATAATTACAATTTGACAAATAAATATATATAGACATTCAATTATAATAATAGTGCTATTACTAATAACAAATAAATAATAGCAATTTGACAGTTAATAGCAATTATAATAATAATAATTATAATGATAATAATAATAGAGACAATTTAATAATATCAATAATCAATAATTATTCTCCAATAATCCAAAATGAAACGGGGTATTACAGTCTATCCACCTTACAAAGAATTCCGTCCTCGGAATTCAAAATAAAAAAAGACTAGAAAGCAATAAAGTACAAATGGGACTCAAAACTCAAAGTTCGGATATCACCTCCAAAGCTCGGCCTCCTTTTCCCAAGTCGTTTCCGACTCGTCATGTCGGTTACAAAGCACCTTCACCAAGCTCACTGCCCGGTTCCTCAACTGGTGGACCTTCTGGTCCAAAATAGCTACCGGTACCTCCTCGTAGGTAAGGCCTCGCTCGACCTGCAGTTCGCCGAAGTCCACCACGTGACCGGGATCATGCACGTATCTCCGCAACATCGAGACGTGAAACACGTCATGTACGCCCGACAAGCTAGGTGGTAAAGCCAGTCGATAAGACAAGTTCCCGACTCGGGCAAAGATCTCGAAGGGTCCAATATAACGCGGTTTAAGCTTCCCCTTCTTCTCGAAGCGAATCACACCCTTCATGGGCGAGACCTTCAAGAAGATGTGATCTCCGACGGCATACTCGTGCTCATCCCTCTTCCGGTCGGTATAGACTTTCTGCCTCTCTTGGGCTGACCGGATATGCTTTCGGATAGCCTCAACTGTCTCCGCAGCTCTAAGAATGAACTCCGGACCCATGATTTTCCTCTCCCCGACCTCATCCTAGTACAAGGGTGTTCGGACCTTACGTCCATACAAAGCCTCGAATGGGACCATTTTGATCGTGGAGTGGTAGCTATTGTTGTAAGTCAGCTTGACCAAAGGCAAGGCACTCTCCCAGGTTAGGCTACGGTCCAAGAGCACAGCCCTCAATATGTCCTCCAAGTACTGGATCGTCCGCTCCGACTGGCCATCTGTCTGAGGATGAAAAGTTGTACTGAACTCCAGCCTCGTCCCCATGGCTCGGTGCAGGGTCTTCCAGAACTGGCAAGTGAATTTCGCGTCTCGATCAGACACTATCTCCACGGGAACTCCATGAAGCTTGACAATCTCATCCACGAACAACTCGGCATACTGACTAGCCTTCATAGTCGTTCGGACTGGCAGAAAGTGGGCCGACTTTGTAAAGCGTTTCACAATCACCCAAATAGAGTCATGCCCGGTCCTCGACCTTGGCAATCCCACTAAGAAATCCATGGTGATGCACTCCCATTTCCACAAGGGAACCTCAAGTGGCTGCAACTTCCCTCTCGGTTTCTGATGCTCAGCCTTCACTTGCTGACATACCAGACACCCATTCACGAACCTTGCCACTTGCCACTTCATACCTCGCCACCAGAAAGACTTCCTCAAGTCCTGATACATTTTCGAACTACCAGGATGGACGGTGTACGGGGCACTATGGGCCTCTCTCAAAATCTCCCTTCGCAATTCCCACACCTTCGGAACACAAAGTCTACCCTCGAAGAGCAAGGCCCCATCAGATTCGACTGCGAATCCTCAAACTCTACCGGCTTCCGACAACTCCTTCATCCGGCAAAGAAAACGATCATTCGGTTGCTCGGCGACTATCCTCTCACGAAGAGTCGGTCCCACAACCAAAGAGGTCAACATACCCCTGGCTATCAAAGGCGGCTCCACTGCCTCTAGCTGTAGTCGCTCGAACTCTCGAAGAAGGACATCTTGCTCGGTAAAGAGACAGGACAACTGGCCATAACTCCTCTGACTAAGGGCATCGGCTACCACGTTAGCTTTCCCCAGATGGTAGCTAATCGTGCAATCGTAGTCCTTGACCATTTCTAACCACCTTATTCCGCATATTTAGCTCCTTTTGAGTGAAAATGTACTTTAAGCTCTTGTGGTCGGTAAATATCTCACACTTGCCTCCATAGAGGTAGTGCCGCCAAATCTTCAAGGCATGAATGACTGCAGCTAACTCCAGATCGTGAGTGGGGTAGTTCTGCTCGTGAGGCTTCAGCTGCCTCGAAGCATAGGCTACGACCCTCCCCTGCTGCATAAGGACACATCCCAAACCCATCTTCGAAGCGTCACTATAGATGGTGAAATCCAAAGTAGGATCGGGAATAGATAGAACGGGTGCGGTAGTGAGTCTCCTCTTCAACTCCTGGAAACTCTCCTCACACTTCTGACTCCAATCGAACCTCACGGCCGTCTTCGTAAGGTTGGTTAGTGGCTGGGCTATCTTCGAGAAACCCTCGATAAACCTCCGGTAGTATCCTGCTAACCCCAGAAAACTACGAACATCAGCGACACTTCTTGGCGTATCCCACTTGCTCACTGCATCGATCTTGCTGGGATCCACCTCAATGCCTCTCGATGTCACAATGTGGTCAAGGAATGCCACACGATCCAACCAAAATTCGCACTTTGAGAACTTAGCATACAGCTTCTCGCGGCCAAGAGTCTCCAGCACAATCCTCAGATGCTCCTAGTGCTGGTCGATGCTCTGAGAATAAACTAGGATGTCGTCGATGAACACGATAACAAACTGGTCCTGGAAGGGATGAAAGACCCTATTCATAAGGTCCATAAACACAGCCGGGGCATTGCTGAGTCCGAACGGCATGACTACAAACTCATAGTGGCCATAACGGGTACGAAAGGCAGTCTTAGAAATATCCGACTCCCGGATCTTCAGCTGATGATAATCAGAACGCAAGTCGATCTTCGAAAATACACTAGCTCCTCTCAACTGGTCGAAGAGATCCTCAATGCGAGGAAGGGGATACTTTTTCTTGACTGTAAGGGCATTCAATTCTCGATAGTCAATACACATGCGCATCGATCCGTCTTTCTTCTTCACGAATAGGACGGGTGCTCCCCACGGTGAAACACTCGGACGAATGAAACCAAGATTGAGCAACTCCTGGATCTGGGCCTTGAGCTCTTGAAGCTCCTTCGGCGCCATGCGATAAGGGGCCTTAGAAACATGGCCGGCTCCTGGTACTAGATCAATGGTAAACTCCACTTGGCGGTCGGGCGGTCCTCCGGGCAATTCATCAGGAAAGACATCGAGATACTCGCAGACAATAGAGACTCTCTCCGGGGACCTCTCAGAATCGTCCTCGGATATCATAGAAACCAGATAGCCTTGACAGCTACCCTTAGAAAGACTCTTCCTAGCTTGCATCGAAGAGATTACTCGAGGCACAATCCTCGACTTCACCCCATAGAAAATAACAGGCTGATCAGAAACAGGGAAGAGATTGACTTCGCGCTCCTGGCACCGGATATCGGCTCGATAGCGAGTGAGCCAGTCAATGCCCAAGATCACATCGAAGTCCCGCATTTCAATCACATAACAATCGGCCTCCAGAACACGCCCACCAATACTGACCGGAAGACGGGAAATCATAGAATCGGAAATAATAATCTTTCCTGAAACTAGACTAACCTCGAGAGGGTCATAATTGCACACATTATAAATAGACAGGGCATCCCAGCATCGAGAGGAGATAAAGGAATGAGTAGCTCCAGTGTCACATAACGTAAAGATGGGCACATTGGATAAAAAAATCATGCCAGACATGATACCTGCGTGTTGGTGTTATATACTTAAGCTTGGCTTTAGTGGATATTACACTTGTTATTTCTTGATGGATGAGAATTATGTTTGGTTAAATAATTTCCACGTTCTGTTGTTTTGCATGTAGATAAGTGGGTCGTCATCGGGCGTACCGAAGATCACTATATCAGTTACTTGCGAAACAAGAATCATTGGTTCACAACCTAGATGGAATTGAACAACCCATCGGAACGGTTGTAGTGTCAACCGTACGGTTTGTCTTGACCGATTAGTTGCACTAGTACATTTATGTATTGAACAGGATCCCAGAAAAGGATGTTCGTTTTATATTGATCGTCGTAAACGAACTAGGCCTCAGTTAATTATTGCGTGCTCTTAACCCGTAAGATATAAAATAGGCATGTGTACATAATTGTTGTTGCTTTGATTCTTTGGGTGAGATCTAAGCCGGGTCGACGTACTTAATGAATTGGGTAATGACATTATGTGTTCGATGTGCTATTAGGATATTTACGGTCACCATGTGCGTTAGTCTGATGATGTCTCCGAAGTGAGTTCATGAAGGAATATTATGCTAAACCCTGCAGGTGGATTTATTCTGGCATAATATGAATGCTATGAGCGAGCGCTAGCTTCGGTAATATAATATATTAATTAATTCTTGATTATTAGTGATCGAATTAATTAATGCACATTATATCTTAAACATGGGGAGGTAAATCGGATAATTATAATGAGGAGTCTCAAATGTAATTTGGGATAGGTAAAGGGAGTGCAATAATATTATTGTGGTGTACTTTAATATTATAAATATATTAATTGTGGGGTTGCTCCACAATATTGATATATTAGAAGCCCTTATCATATTATCTTTAGGATCCCTACTGTAGCTCTATATATACAGCATTAGGCTCATGGAAGAGGACAGAATCCCACAGCTTGGAAAAAATCGTCCGCCCCCTCTCTCTCTCTCTTCCAAGGAGTTGTTCTATTTCTTGTGCTCCGCTGATACAAGATCTAGATAGTTGTTTGAGAATACTGTAGAAGATCTTAAGGTATATACGGGATTCCAATAAAATCTATCATCCATCCAAACCGGAGACCAAAACCAGCAAGTGACCATACCACGACGACCAGGACGACGAGTCGGAGAGATCGCCGTCGAGATCGCCGCCAGCAGCCGCCGCACGCGCCGCCGGAAGTTCGCTGCTGCTGGGACTCACACGCGCGCGTGAGAGCGCGTGGAAACTCTGTTTTCCGACCGGTCAACGCCGTTGACTTCGCCGTGACGCCAGCTTTCTGGATTGGTCAAGTTCGTTCGATTCCGAGAAGATTTGATTTGCGGTTATCTGTTCGGGCCAGCCAGATCTACATAAATTTCAAGCCGTACGTTTTCTACATCAAACCTTTAGATCCGTTGCACATAGGTTTATGTTGAATGTTTGTCCGTGATTTGTGCATATCGAGATCCTCATGGGTTCCAACAATTGGTATCAGAGCACGAGGTTAATCCGTTATGTACAAGAT